ATGTGATCCAAACAACTTTTTGTTTTTTCTCTAGTAATATTATTTACATATGATTTAAAGCCATTAGAGGTTAACATTGAATAATATGTGACAGTAAGAGGATCTTGGTTATCTAATAAATTAAAGTTAATATCACCAACCACTACTTCAATATTTTTCTCCGTAATGTCATTTTTAAAGTAATATTCAAAGTCATATATATTCCTTTGCAATTTCATTGTGCGATGTTGCCGGATGAAATATTTATCAAAATAAAAGTGCAAACGATCTTAACATACACTTTACAGCTCTTTTTCTGTCTGATTAAAGGCGTAAAACTACATTTGCTCTAGGTCTATAAACCTAGCAGTCCCAAGGTGGAAAAAAACTTCGGGAACTATATAATAATTAGGTGCTTTTTAGGTGCTAATTAGGGCCTCTAATTAAAAATTAGGTGCTCCTTTAGTTTTTGAGAAAATCAAAAAAAACTAAGGGACTGCTAGGTTTATAAAAACTAGCATTCCCTATAGTAAAAAATATTTTTTTCAAATTTCTTTTGTATCAGAGTTAGGTGCTTTTTAGGTGCTCCTAAATAGTCCAAGAAAAAATAGAAATGATTAATTATTAACTGAGTTACAGATTTTTTTTTAATTATTAGGGGACTGCTGGCTTTACGTTTACATGTTGGTGTGTCAGAAAGGCAAAAAAACTTTGGGATCTATATAATAATTAGGTGCTTTTTAGGTGCTAATTAGGACCTCTAATTAAAAATTAAGTGCTCCTCTAGTTTTTGAGAAAATCAAAAAAAACTAAGGGATTGCTAGGTTTATGAAAGCTAGTAGTCCCCTATAGTGAAAAATATTTTTCCAAAAATTTCTTTTGTATCAGAATTAGGTGCTTTTTAGGTGCTCCTAAATAGTCGAAGAAAAAATAGAATTGATTGATTATTAACTGAGTTAAAGATTTTTTTTTTTATTAGGGGACTGCTGGATTTACGTCTCCGCCTATACTGCCCTCCTAAGAATATACGCCGTATGTTTAACAATTTCAAATATGTATCGAGTTTTTGTTGCCGAAAATTTTATATTGCTTTAACTTAGCTTTCTGCCATATATGAACGCCGTATCTTAACTAGAACTATTTAAAATTATACACAAAAATCCTGCCGTATGTTCCTATTACCAATTTGTGCCAAATATGAATGCGGTATCTAAGCTCTACCAGTAATAAATCGGTAAAAATACTGGCTGCTTGCGAACTTACCGCGCTTATCTTTGGTACGTGCATTTTATCAAATTACAAGAATCTACAATAAAAATTATTTAAATGTCATAAATGCGAAAGGGCCATGCCAAAAACCTTAAAAGTGAATATTTCAGTTCACCACCTCATGAACATACCGCGTTTATTCTTAGGAGGGCAGTCTACTTGTGCAAAAAAACTTCGGGATCTATATAATAATTAGGTGCTTTTTAGGTGCTAATTAGGGCCTCTAATTAAAAATTAGGTGCTCCTCTAGTTTTTGAGAAAATCAAAAAAAACTAAGGGATTGCTAGGTTTATGAAAGCTAGTAGTCCCCTATAGTGAAAAATATTTTTCCAAAAATTTCTTTTGTATCAGAATTAGGTGCATTTTAGGTGCTCCTAAAAAGTCGAAGAAAAAATAGAAAATTTAAAGACCGACCTCGACAGTGATGCCGTTTTGAATCCACTCCCACCCTTTATTCGCGACTGGCTTACTCTCGGAATAGTTGGGTCGTTTTGAGACACCCTGTATTACATGATTTCTTTTGCGCATGCCCTGCTTTGGTTTCTAGCTCATTGAAGACTGGCAGTGAGAATAATACGAATTGACTCACCCATATAGTTTCTCTATAGAATAGTTACATGATTTTGATTTTAACATATATTTGCTTTATCTTTAGGAGATTTTGAAACATAATTTTAGTCACTCCTATTTAATTAAGGATGAAACATAATGAGTAAGTATTTTTTTGCACAACAATCTTATTTTGATAAATTTATGAATGAAAAAAATTACCTGGAATGTAAATGCTTATGGTGAGATTAAATTAATAATCCGAGAAGCGTTTCAGCTTTTAGGTTTTAGCTCGATTCTGTCTACAAAAATCCCAGTTGATGACAAGATTCTGATAGTTTGACCTCTATCTGATGGATGAATCTATTGGAAATTTCTTCAAAAACATGCTTTGGGTATTTTTTTATCGTGGTAAAGGATTTGTTGTTACAATATACAGGGATTTGAATGTGTCAAAGTCATAAAGACATTGACTTTGATGGTTGAGCTTATAGAAGCATGATGGGAGCTTCTTCAGAATTTTTGGTATTTTTAGTTGGAAATAGACCTGTCTCGCATAAAAAGAGAAAGAGAGCTTAATTGTAATAAATACAAGTTAGAAAGTAATAAAAGATGACATGCGCGCGCAACTCGTAGGTTCAGTGTAGCCAGATTGTATTGTTGCAGAACAAATAAAGACAATACAAATGGAACATTATAACATTAAAGAAGTGATATAGTGTCAAGTGTTTTACAACGCCTTGAATCAGACAAAAGAAGCGCTTGAAAAGTTTATGTTAACATCGTTTACACTTTTATTTTAATAAATGTTTCATCTGGCAACATCGCACAATGAAATTGCAAAGGAATATGTCAAGTATAATCTGACAAAACCTTAAACGACACTGCGGTGAGTTCAAGTAATATGTAAAGTATTAGTTTGCTCTTTGTCGAATTACACGTTACAAAGAAAGAAGGAACGATTCACTCTGAACTGGCCCCTGAATAAGAATATGACGCAAACCTGTACCCAACTTGCTTCTCATTGGACGCTCACCTACAAGCGACGCGCGCAGTCCAGGTAATAGGAGATCGGTCTCAGGTGGGATATTTCCGGGTGCAATTTCCAATGCGACAATGCCGCGCGGCGTGCGTCGGAAACCCACGTTTAGGTTGTCATTTTTGGCATTGAGACCAGCTTTTCCATTTAAAAAGCATTGATGTCAGAAATCTGTCAAAGTGTATATTTTTTGACAAACGCAATTTAAATGGGAAATATCAATAACAATCACCATCACAGAACACATCAGCTTAATTAAAATATTCGACACAACGTATAATAAATAAACTTCAAACTCGGGAAATTTCCTATCAAAATATAACACGTGCATAAAATATTTCCTACGGGAAATTTTTAAAAATTTCGTCTTCAGCCAATTTTTTTAAACAAAACCAGGCAATATATATTTCCGGGTGCAATTTCCAATGCGACAATGCCGCGCGGCGTCCGTCGGAATCCACCTTTAGGTTGTCATTTTTGGCATTGAGACCAGCTTTTCCATTTAAAACGCAATGATGTCAGAAATCTGTCAAAGTGTATATTTTTTGACAAACGCAATTTAAATAGGGAAGATCAATAAAAATCACCATCACAGAACATATCATCATATTTAAAATATTCGAAACAACTTATAGTGAATAAACTTCAAACTTGGGAAATTTCCTATCAAAATATAACACGTGCATAAAATATTTCCTGAAGGAAATTTTTAAAAATTTCGTCTTTAGTCAATTTTTCAGACAAAATTTTCAAAAATTTCCGGAAATATGTTATGCACTAGTTATATTACTACTGGAAAAATTCAAAAAGGATCTTTTGGAAAATCCTTTAGCTCAGAATAAAAGTTTCAGGAGGCAATGGGAATTATTTATTGTTTTACATGGTTGGCGGATAACTAAACGACTAATGCCAGATTACAGATTGCGTTTTTATACGTCAGATTGCATTACCTAATAGTTTATCAGAAGGTGAATGAACGGGCCCTTAGGCAAGTCAAACTTTATGCTCAGTGTAGTTTAATAGTTTATCAGAAGGTGAATGAACGGGCCCTTAGGCAAGTTAAATTTTATGCTCATTGGCCGAGTTCGTTTTTGTCATCTTTTTCGTCGATTTGCTCCGAAATTTTGACAGGCACGTGACTGGATAAGACAGTTTCAAATTACAAATCACGTGCCTGTCAAAATTTCGAAGGAAATCGACGAAAAAGACGAGAAAAACGAACTCGGCCATTGTAGGTAGTTGAAACTTGAGAGTAAGATATAAACAATCTAGAAACGCTTTATCTAGAGAACTTATCACAATGGCAGCAAATATCCAGTTAAGTTCCCCAAAATTTTATAGAGAGCGCGAGTGAACTTGGAGTACTTCAAATTTTGGCGGTAAATGTCAATAGTTTTAAATCGCTTAAATTGAGTACAAGGAAAGATGACTACATATGAACAATGGACAATGAATAAATTAAAATATCTTCCAAAGCGTTCAGTGGCCCTTAGAGAATATTTTTAAAAGTGTCAGCGTCAGCTTGCCTTAAAACCACACATCAAACTTCATTGCATCAAACTTAACTTTTGAGGTTAAAATTACAATCGATTATTTAGGCGCCAAAATTCAAAAAGTTCCAAGTACAAAAGCGCCCTCTTCAACTCAACTGTCAATATTACATGCCATTAGGTCAGTTGAATTTTATGCACAATTATACAGGCCGACAGTAAAGTTACCACTTTTGATTTTATTAAATAGGGTACTTGCATGGAAAATTAAATTGATTATTGTTTATTGCAAACTGTAGGAAATCGAAAAAAAATCGTTACTTTTTTTTTATTCCGCCCAAATATGATTATTCCGGAAGTTATACAAATATTAAGTTTTTTATATATAGATATACTGACCATGTGCAACGTCACAACTCACAACGTATTATACCTAAGTTATGACGTTGCAAGGACATTTCAAAGCGTTGTATCTCCGTCAATTTTTGACTAACAAAAAAAAAAAAAAAAACACGTGTTGACTTATTTTTCATGGACTATCGAAATCAGCAATAAAAAAATTTGATGCAAGGGGCCTATTCTTATCAAGCTGTTGATATATACGTAAACTTAATTGCAAGGCGGCATACCAACATCAAATACGATCTTGTATTGAAATTCAAAAAAATTCTTACCTTTTTCATTTTGCTGCTCTTTCTCATCTTTGTCATTGAAAAGCTGCACGTTACAAAACCTCTTTCTAAAAGGAGCTAAGTTCTCAATCAAATTATCATACGGGATACTGCTACAGCTATGAGTCCTGATTTTCTTTCCAAAATGATTATCAGGTGGCTTTTCGTTGTCCATTAACTTCATAAAAGTATATCGGTTTAAGCTGGTCGTAACACTGACAACTTTTATGGTATCTGTATCTGTTTTAACAGTTTTGACTGTGGTAATTTGTTCTTTAGGTGGTGATTTTTGATTTTTCATGTCAGGTGATGGGGCTTCTTGGATTCCTAAAATGATTGATAAATTATTGAATCAAGGAAACAAAATAATTGAAACTCACCTTTAACTTTCTTATTCTTTTTCTTGCTGCTGGCAGTCTTACTTTTGGCTTTAGCCTTTTGTAATTTATTCGGAGGTGTTTTAAAGGCATCATCTTCCACAGATTGCTCTTTGATTTCATTGAAATCATTATCAGAATCAAGAGTGTGATATCCTTTGCTAATTTTCGAAACATCTTGACCAGAAGAGAACTGATCTATAAATTCTATGTCGTCGACTTTAAAAGGTGTTGAATTTCTGGTTGATAAGTCGTTTGTGCAACTAGTGGATTGTGGCTAGGAAAAAAAATTGATAAAAATAATATGACAAAATGAACAACAAATCAGTACCCTTTCATCTTTATTCTTTCGAGGGGGAGCGACAGCGGACTGTACCAGAGCCGCCTCCTCCCCCACTTCCACCGAGGCGACGGAGGTCGCCCTTTTTTGGCGGCCGGTTTCACTCTTTTTTCCAGCGCTTGACGTCAACGAACGTGACCAAAAAAGCGGCCCCCGACCTCGGGAACCACTCGACGAACCACCTGAACTGCCCCCGCCTGTGCCCGAGTCGACGGAGGAACCTTTGCCGCGCGGAATGGTTGCAAAAGTCGTCCTAAAATAAACGTATATACTGACTAGATTACATTTTAAAAGAAACCTCCAGAATCTGTGTGTGATTTAAAGAAGAGAATGTCTGCTGCATCTCCTCTATACTGGAATGACATACAGAACTGGATTAAACAGGGAAGTGTTTTGGGTCCACTATTGTTCATTATTTATATAAACGATCTGCCAGATGTAATACATGACATTGAATTGCATAACTTCGCCGATGATAGTCTATTCTACGCCTTTTCAAAAGATTTGGATTTGTTGGTGGAAACTGTTAATAATGCCCTAAATAAAATGGACAATTATGCATCAACGAATCTTTTGAAGATTAATGTTAGTAAAACTAAATTTATGTTTATTGGTACACATAATAACAGAAGTCTTTTTAATATGAACAACTATTCAATTGAAATGGGTAACAATAAGTTGGAAGAAGTTCAAAAGATTAAGTATCTTGGGGTAATTCTTGATAACAAATTAAAATTTAAAGATCACTGCAACATTCTGGTTTCTAAAATTAGTTTTAAGACAAATTATCTTAGGCGCTGTTCAGCATCTCTCTCAGCTTGGTCTAGAATTGTTGTTTTTAACACTATAGTTTTGCCACACTTCAATTATTGCGCAACAATACTTTATTTACTCAACCAGAATGATATCCAAAGACTGCAAAAGTTGTAAAATAGATGTATGAGAATCATACTCTCATGTAACAAATATACTCCTATAAAAAGTATGCTTAGATTGCTTCAGTGGCTTCCAGTTGTGGAATATGCAAAATATAATGTACTGGTGTTTATTTTTAAAATTAAAATTGGACTTGCTCCATTGTATCTTACAAGAAAAATAGTTTACAGTGGCCAGATGCATGATCACAACACTAGACAACAGAACAACTTCTATATACCACGTAGATGTGGGGCATCAGCAACAAGATCAGTATTCTTTAAGGGTATGAATGAGTTTAATCAGCTACCGGATGAAATAAAGTCATGTGTTACTATTAGCAATTTCAAAAGAAAATTAAAAGTTCATCTGCTGACTAAATGTGATATATATGTTCCAGATTAAAGCACAAATGAGTAGCTTATTCTTGTTGATCTGGGTTTTGTTGATTTGAATTTCTTTTGTTTTGCGGTATCTTGATCCTGTATTTTGTGAAGTGAAAAACGAATGCCATATTTTGTATGAGTTTCAGGACTTGCTTTTTACGAAATTTCAAGATTTATTGTGTCTTTCGGAATGATTGTCATTTGTATTTTGAATTTAAATTTAAATTGTTTACTTTAATTGACACTATACACTAATTATAACTTTTGTGAATTTATATATGTAAGTTGCACAATTAGCTATTGCTAAATAAACGAAATAAATAAAAAACAAAAAATATTCCATTTCTCAGAATCTAGCTCTATTCGTTGTAGAGAGGCAATATAGATAACATAAGATTTATTTGAATCAATACTACAAAAATACAGATTTTTCAGGATTTTTTTTTTAAATATATCTACAGATGTACCAATCTGGTTTAATGTTCTACTTACGATCCTTGATGGAGTTTTGGGCAGGACTGTCCCGTGATTCCCTTTTTTTCGGGATGACAGGCACTGCACCGAGGTGCCCTCAACACCCCTGCCAATCCTTTAGACTCTGAGGAACCATTGTATGAATATCCTACTGGTCGTTTATTTAAATCCAGAATGAAAGCTGTGCTTTTTTTTCTTTTCAATTGTTTCTTAATAATAGAATTAAATATAATATCATAAACTTATATTCAAAGGTTTGTGACTAAATTTTCTATTCTTACAAAACTACTGAGCACCAACAAATTGATCAACTACAATTTATTTATCAATAATATGACTAAGAATTTCTGGCTAGCTTTTTTACAGTCTTATTTGCGTTCTATTAGTTTATTAGGGTGTTAGTTTTCTAAAGTGGATATTCTATCACAAATTGACTGGAATAGCGATGCGACATCATTTGGTTACTGTGGCGGAGAACCCTGAAATAAAACAAACAAGTTTAGAATTTAAACTAACCTTAAGTATATTAATCTAGCCTATACCTACTCAAAGACCTACTCGAACAAGCAATATGAGTTAGGTACAATTATTAGTATTACCTGAATGGAACAGTAACTTTTTTTTATAAGTATGCCCAGACATATGTATGTAGTTTGAATTGAAAGGTATTGTAGTGACTATAAGATTAGGAAGAAAAAAGGAGGCGTATTTTTTTTATCTACCTAATAGCTTTGGAAAAAAATATTTACAGACTTGACAACAAGTTTGCTACAGCAACATTAATTTTTGTCTATAAATAAAAAACCTTGTTGCCCAAGAGAATTAAATCCTTCAAAAGTTCACCGAATATAACATTCAATGTATAATTGACGCAAAAGAAAACATTTTATAGTTTAGTCTGTTAAATTTGAATACTGTAGCATAATCAATTCCCAGAGTTCAACATTTAGGGGACAGTGACTCATACAATATCGGACACAATAAAAATCACAATAATAATAACTACATTTTTCTAGTTCTGTTTACTATTATCAAATCCAGTACCTCAGATAAGTCACCGACAGTTTAAAGTTAACGTTTAGTAGTTAATACCTGATTAAATTAATTGTACAAGCTCCTCAAAACTGAAGACACAATACAAGGACAAAGGACCCAGAATAAATGGATACAGGATTTACTTGCCACGATAGAAAATTTCGATTTTTTGGTATTTTGTAATTGCCATTGTGGCTTCATCCTGAGCATTATTTTTTTTATAACATGACATTAGATACAGAAATTTTCTATGGGATCTCTGGTAAGTAGAACAGAAAATCGCTGTTTGTTCTTCTTATAAGGAATTGTCTCAAAATAACCTTGAAAATAGTTTCTCTCAGATTCGACAAAGAAATATTTTTGTAGCTACATTTCACACCCCATTCATAGTTTACATATTTGAACAGGTGCAATCATGTTGAGATATTTTTTGGCTAAGTACTTATGCCTTGGAGTATTAAAAATATTAAAATATTTTTTATGTTGGCCTTAATCTCTTTGAATAATTAATTAACGGTATTCAAGCATGCTAACTTTCATTAAACAAAGTGGGAGTTCAGTATTCAATCCCTTTTGTAAGTTTGAATCCAATTATAGGTAAACTAAAGAAATTTAAATAAATAATCCCTTCATGGAGATGGGATGTGTACCTACAAAATCCTGTAGGACGTGTACTAAATCAGCTACAAGACTTGATAGGACTTAAAACAACAGTACAAGACTTCACAGAACTGAGAACTGGTATTTAGTACGACTGTACAACAATTGGAGAGTATTATTCTTCAATGCACAAATCAGGTTTCCTAATGCTCATATTATGTGTTATATATTTCTGGATACTTTGGTAGGGGATTGGGGACCTCAAAGGCTGGTTTCTCAATAGCGAGTCACCTCTGGGCTAAGCATAACTCCAGGGTAAACAATGAAACTGTAGACGTTTACCCTGAAGTTAAAACTAACCTGAAGGTAACTCGCTATTGTGAAACCGATTTGGTAGGTACAAAACCCTAAATTGCCTTGTATATGCTCCTCTATGATTTGTTGTGATGTGATAATTAGTAATAGGATGATTTATAGAATTAAGAATATGTTCTGAATGAGGGATGTTTCACTCATGCAGTAGGTGTACAAATATCATACATTCACGTATATGCAGTCATAATACAGTCACTTGCAATCGTTATAAACTCTGTGCAGTCTGAGGTGCAGAGTCAAATGCATGCAGTAGTGTACATTCCATAGAGCCTGCAATCTTGTAAGAAATTGCTCAAAAGTCAATGCAGTCAACTATCATCTTTGATGCAATCAATGAAGTCAAATACAGTAGGTGTACAAAATTTAGTGGGTGTAACACCCCTCAGTTTTGAACGAATCTAGAGACTACAGAAGGTTTAAAAAAGCACATCAATATATAGGATTATGAACTCTAGTATGAACCAAAAAAAAGTAAAAGAAAACAAACAGCTATGAAAATGTAGTCGGATCATATTTATATCCAAATTATATCGATATTATATTACGTTATTAGAATAATTCCAAATTATTGGAAATATTCAATAGTAATATAACTAGTGCAATGGAAATTATTGATATTTTTGGGAAATTTGCCAGAATGCATTTTTAGTTGAAAAAGAGCACGAGTGCACGCCTTTTTCAGTTAAAAACGCATGAGTGCAAATTTGTCGAAAATTATAAATATATTTCCATTGCACGAGTTGTATCTAATAAGAGAATTTCATAAATCAAAAATTTAAATTTTTTGTCAAAAAATGTCAAAACACCAGTTTTCGCACCAGTTAGTATGCAATTATCTGATAATTTGCATTAGTGCAAATTATCGCGTAATTACAATCTGATTGGTTCAAATCAACGATTAAAACAATATGTCAATTTATTGTTGGATTACCAGTTTTGACAGATGTATGAAATTCTCTGTTTAATTGTTGATGATTCAAACAACCCGCCACTGATATAGTTGTCAAAGGACTGATATATGAGAAAATACCTACTTAAAACTAAAGATCAATTTTAAGGGCATTTTGACCACGTTGAAATGGCCTTTAACCCACGTATTATATCGATTCCGCGACCTCCAAACCCCACACGTCGCAAAAATCGTTAAATACAGGCCTATTTTCGCAGAAAAAAAAAAAAAACTAAAAACGCAAAAGGGAATGTCCGCTTATTCCGGTTTTTGGGGCCAATCTACTGTATATAGGATCATAAGACATGCATAGAAAAACTCACTAATAGTTAAACTACACATCTACCGGCATAATTTTAGGGAGCAACACTTTATTTTTGGAAAAAATCTTACATTTCCTTTGGGCACAGGCAAATGACACCACCCCAAAAACAGATGAGACACTTTTCAATTTTCAATTCTTACGTTAGGTGGCGGTGACGGTCTACCAGCAAAACAATTGTCAAGTGTCAGAATCAGCTGTGCTGTAGCTCCATCCGCTTGTTGACAAAAGACGTTGCCTATAGCCGCTTTCCAGCTGTGTGCTTCCAGCACGGTGCAGCACATTGTTCTGTGTTTGAAACGCAAAAGTTAGCAGCTCTCGAAGCGCAGTACGGCTGGAACACGAACACGCGCTTGAAGCATTTGCGCGCGCAAACGCTCGATTGCGTGCTCAAAAGCGTCAGCTGGAAAGCGGCTTATGTGACAAATCGATCAAGTGGGTTCTTCCGGTGCAGAGCGTTCCCGATAGAGGGTTAACTCCGAGTGTGACCTTAGTGCCGGTCGATTCGAATAATCGCCTATCTCAACGTTTTGTCAAGGGTATTACAAACACTATACAGGATAGCCTGGCCTGTCCTCATAAAGCCTGTGTAGTTTAAATCTCGAGCCCCCAAACGCCAAAGTACCAGTGATGACGTAGAAAGCGTGTCGTTTTTCGCCTTGACGAAGGGTGTTTGCATCAATTCAATTCAATTCAATAAAGCTTTATTGTCCTAATTCTTAGCAAAATCACTGACAAAGGTACAAAGGTCCTAAAAACTATACATAAAAGGCAAGTAATAAAATTTCAAAAAAAGTTCCGTCTAGAATAACAATCTAAGTAAGTGCTTCAAGCAGCGTGATACTAGTCATGAAAGAATTCCGCTCAAGGTTCCTACAGTTAGATTGTCTGGTAAAAACGTTTGGTGAGGGGTAATTTGATGACGTCATCTGGGGCGATTTTGCTTATCATAAATTTAAATTCTAAACCACGATCGCTGGTGCAAACACCTGACGTCTAAGTTAATGACGTTGCCGATGGTGCTGTACCATATAACCGCGATTACCAAAAACAAGGTCGATAAGCAATCCTGTAGGTAGTCTGTATTATCCTTGATTTTGGTTAACGTTATATTCGGACCGCCTTAACTAATGTCACTCGATTAGAGATATCACACATTGAATGGTTTGTGTTCTTTTTCTACTACTAAATAGAGAAATAAAAAAGGCATCGTAGAGAGACATTAGAGAGTTCTCGTGCTGTCCAAATTCCAAATACCGTAACGTTATTTGACAAGTATGACAGTTCTTACCGTATTAGCGTTAGTGGAGCCCGTTACCTAACGGGACTTAGCGGATGCCTTACCGTAACGCTATGCTATGTCAAAATTAGTTTGCGTTGCATTTTTTTCATTTACGTCTGCAAAAACAGGAACTTCTAATAATGGGGTAGTATACAAGTGATTTTTAACTACTGCATAGTGATATACTCGACGTATCGTACTATTTAGTGTTATCAGTTGCTTTGTAAAAACCACAATACACTGGAATTTTTTTTTTTTAATTTCCCCTTAGCCCCGCCCCTACGTGAAAATAAAAGTTCGTGACGTAGTTAGTTTTTCCAATCTGGCAACACATCACGGTTTTGAGAACGTACAATGTGCACTGACATTGACCGTCAAGAACAAAACGTCAATTTTTAACGCAAAACAAACCACGACAATATCACATGTCACACGATTCACCTTTCGTTCGGTATTTTGCTCAGAGAACAAGCAGAGCGTGTAAAGCGGAGCCGTAATCACGTGGCCAGCGAGCGTACAGAGCAGTTAAACGCTGTATCAGAGGGCTCGAAATTTCAATAAACGAACGTTAATGAGCCTGCACCGAGTACACTTTTTAAATAAACGAACGGTTTTTTGCTCGGAGAACTCATCAAAATACCGAACGCACGGTCGCACGACACCACCACACGTCGTTGAACTGTTGAAGTCAGCTGTCGTTTTGAAGCATTTTGAGCAGCGTTGCCAGATGGTCAGCGGCTCGAATATGATTGGTCGCCGCTGTGGCGCTAAATTCAAATTACAGTTTGTTTTTCTCTGATTAATTCTATAGACATTATGCTGGAAATTAATTTAGTATTCCACTATACCATCACCATTTAGCCTATAGAATAACGTCGAGCAGTTTTTTTACTGATTTTCATACATAGGCCGAGTTCGTTTTTGTCGTCTTTTTCGTCGATTTCCTTCGAAATTTTGACAGGCACGTGATTTGTAACTTGAAACTGTCTTATCCAGTCACGTGCCTGTCAAAATTTCGGAGCAAATCGACGAAAAAGATGACAAAAACGAACTCGGCCATAGTATACTACCCCATTCCTTTATAAAAAACACCAATTAATGAAATTCAGGAATCATTAGGATAAATATAAGTTAGAAAACAAGCAAAAAAAAGTTGGGTTAGCTGTCAAAATGTAAACAGAATAAGGGATTAGAGGATTTTTGTGTCTCGTGTCCGAGAACTATAAAATACAATGTAAAATACCGTATTGTTAGCGGTACCGTATTTGTAGCGTCTGAGGCACGAGAACTTTTAGTTGGGGAGCTGGCGTCAAAAACATGCAAGAGTTTTCGCAAGGCGGATATTTTCAAAATAGGTCGTACTTTAGTGCTAGAATGCTAGTGTACAGTCAGCACTCACAGTTCCGGGACAGCTGGCTCAGGGACGCGGGCAAAGTTGTAATTTTAAGAAGCATCTAAACTGTGTTCTCAAAGCTCAAAATTTATAGAAATTTTGCACATTATCTGTTTGAAGGTCACAGATAACGTATGTAAATCGTCAGACGTCTAGTTCGTTGCAAAAAGGGGGTCAGACGTCCTCAAAGTTTTTATTTTATGGCATTTTCTTCGGTGTCCTGTCAAAATATATTTTTGCAGGTATTTGACAAATATAGTTGAATGATATGACTAACTTGTCAAATAGTACCAAGTGTCAATTCTGAACTCACGACCTTTAAGGGCCGAATTTATAGTCGTTCCTTGAATCTTCCTTGGAGTCGCGAGTTTAGAATGGACACTTGCTTCTATTTGACAATTTAGTCATGTCAATTCTAAACGTTAGTGCGATGCAGTAAACTTTCCTTATTTCAATATTTCTGATATTTTTGACGACTTTGACGTTTTGCTTCTCGACGATGACGTAATTTTACTTAGAGAATTTGCTTTTTACAATAGTTTTTCATTTTACTGTAGGTAACATCAAAAAATGGGTATCAGCCAAAAATCACAAACAAAAATAAACACTTTTTGAGGTTGAAATTTATAAACATATCTGTCACCTGTCAAAATTATGAATACAAAATAAGGTAATTCTCTATGAAGGTAATACTCTAACACCTACTACAGTCTTCCAATAACTGTTATTTTCTTGTAGAAATAGTGCTGATGCACTAATAAAATAGCGTAGATTCTTAATACTGCAAGGCAGTATTTAATAATTCCAATAACTCTCTATTATTCAGGTGATCGCAGATTAGAAAAGTGTTGAAATTTCGGATGAGTATAAAAAGTTGGGAACTACACCGGCAATATGGAACGCTAAACGGTACGCATGGTGTATAAAGATTAAAGTGCAACATTATTGACGGGTCAGCGTAAACAGTGTCAGTAGTTTGATTATCGTACGCACCACCGTAGGTGTGTATCATCCTTGACTTTGATTGACGTTCATTGGTTCACTTGTCTTTTAAACATAACCTCACTTTTTTAATAATAATAATCAGTCCAAAGTTATTTTTATTTATTTTAGATTGAGGGTGATAAAATGATAAATATTTAAAATTTGCTGGCCATTCTTTAACAAACACACGTATTTTTGTGGTCTGTATATTAATTATTAAAGCGTAAAGAATGTTTTTTCATAGTGATTTTATTACTTGTGAAATAAGGTGTTCAAATTAAGTGAAAATATTAGAAACAGTCTACTAAAATGTTAATCTCTATTGTATTGGGGCTGCTATCATACCCTCCTATCATCAGTGCGTTACTATTTTTGAACAACACATTAATATTTCGCGTTAACTATTCAACACCACATTCAGGCAGTATTGACAATAACGTGGAATATATTTATGAATTTTTTAATGAAGGATCTTCAGTTAAGGTAGGTAAACAATAATACTAACATAGTTATTCAATGATTAGTAGCAAATCACAAATATATAGAGAATATTATGCTGTTAAGCTTAGGCCCTAGTTCTAATCTAATCTAATTTAAATTGAATTTCTAGATTAAAGGTCCACCTCGGGTCACTGTGATTACAAGTAATGCAACTATCGAAACGCCATTAATGGTTACAACGAGACAACCTAAGCAGTTGCTTTCTTGGAAGCTACCACTATCTGTAGAGACTGTCAGAGGAGAAGAATTTTATATGAATACTTCTAGGACTTTATGCTATGATATTTTGAGGCATACCAAATTGAATGGTTAGTAACTATTAAAAAAAAAATAGTTCTTTATTTTGCAGTCAAATTAAGACAATTTTCTATGTACTACTCTTTTTAGTGTTATTAAGTTCATAAATGAAAAGATCCCTCCTGAAATGATCCAGCCTTTTCCAGTAGTAAAACTGTCAGCTTACACTTTAGGTACAACTTCATAAAAACCATTATTTCAAAATGTTTCAAAGATATAATTTTTAAATCAAGAATCTGTCCAGTAGAAGTAAAGAGGTATAACTGAAAGGCGTTTACAACCTCTGTGTCCTTGTTTTACCTATTCAAAGAAAGGTTGATGTTTGTTACTTACCTTGTATATTTTAATGAATATCGACACAGTGCATCGAGATAAATTCTCGCTCTATCGATATTCATCAAAATATATAGGGCATTTTATTTAAAAAAATTGAAATGTCATGTGATGTCTCTTTTTTGGATCACCTTGTATAATTACAAATTAGTTTAAAAACATTGTCACTAAAAACAAAAATGGAAGTGTCCGAGCGTTTTTCCAAAAATAAAAAATATGACATGAATTTTAAATGAATTTATTGAGGAATTTATCCGTTACTTCACGGACACACTGTATATACTTATGTGATTCGTATTTGCCTACTGAATTTCACTACATTGAAGTGGGATCTTGCTTGCCAGCGATTTTAAAGAGATAAAACTAGTGCCCGATGCATTCTGGAGGTGAAACTTTGCTTATTAATAATAAATTCATTAAACTATATAAATTGTTTTTGTTCAAAATAAGCCCGTGTTTTATTATTGAAATGCAATCATTCTTCTTTTTAGGGTATAAGGAGTTTGAGCATGAAAATCCAATAGTGTCTCTGGCAACATCTTCGAATTCCAGCGTCGACTTTACAGTTACAGTAGATTTTCCTAAATATTTCCATTTAGAGCACAGTACGACATACTCTATTGAAATAAGTCCCAGTGAACCACAGTATGTAGCAAAGTTTCTAAAATAATTTTATTTATTTTTTAATAATGGCATTATTTTTAGGTATTTCTTTTATAATTTTTCATTACCTAATAACCTGACTGATGCACGCCAATCAAATTTCGATACTGTTATCCTAGAAGTACTTTCTACTGACAATATTTGTACTGTAGTTAGTATTCAGAATGTTAGTGTAAGTATGGGATTTATTTCATTGAAAAATATGATGGAAAATAATATATTTCTTTAAATTTTAGTGTCCAGTTTTTGATTTAAATCAAGATATAACGTTTAGAGGATTCTATGAGACATTTACAACAAAAGGGGGAATGACTATACCGGTAAGCTATACTTTAAGATAATAAAAATCAAATTTACTTGAGTAAATAAAAATATAATAAAATAATTCACCGACTAAATCAAAGGAACAATTGATTGACTTTTAGTATTGATCTTCTTATTGTCTTTCGCCCCTTGACTTATCAAGAAAGTATACATTTATTCTTCTTTCTCTGCTATTATATCATTAAGCAAAGCCTTCAATTCGTGAATCTCCTGCCTTAACAAATCCATCTCACTAGCAGCTTGATTTGCCTCATCTTTTTCCCTGAAATATCTCTGCACCAATGAGGACATTAAAGCAGGATATTCCTTCTCATTGAACTCTTTAGTTTTTGGTTTCAAACCGCTTTGTTTTCTCTGACAACAGCCACCTTCCATTTCCGTGTTTCCCGCAGTTCTAGTTCCGTTCATCATTTCCATAAACATAGTTGCCCCTGCTGGTGTTGGTATTAAATTGAAGGGTGACGGTGTGGTTGTTTGGAGCATGTATTCCATATAAAAATCTGTTTTTCCAAAAGTCCATTCTACGTCCAAATTATCTAAAACTCTTTGAAAGGTCGAGGACATTGTTGCTATAAGCATGTTTAGGATCATAATGACTATAAGTACTTCAAATAGGGCGAAACAAATATATCCTATTGCTTCTGTAAAGGTGTGCTCGTTAATTATTGTTGACTTGGGAGTTTCTCCTGGTAAATTTTCTATTACAACATCAGCACTTTCAAGAGGAGCCATGCAAAGTATGGCCCAAAAAAATGTTTTCAGTGTGGAAGAAAAATCTACGAATGATGAGACCTGTTGAGTTTTCATTTCATTTTCATCCACTTGCACCATGCCATCATAATACTGATAAAACCGACACAAGCCAGCACTAAACGATAAAATTATTAGGGTGAATATAGTGAAATATTTAGCCATGTCTGCACACATTTTGCCTAAAGATATTTGCAATGGCCCCAGATAATAGTTTAGTCTGCAGAAAAACATTAATTTGAAATAAGCCATGATTACTGCGACAGCAAAAGTGCCTTCGGCTATCAGTATAGGGTCTAAATGGTGCCAATATTTTCTCTCTAAATCAGTTTGATCGTTGTTTTTAGCATCGTAATATGAGGCAAGCCAAAATAGAAATGTGAGCAAAAACAGAGAATTATTAACAGTAGCGTGCCAATTCCAAAGCTTTTTAAAATAGGCTTTAGGACCTGTCAGTAAAAGCATTCTCAGGCTACTCCAAATATTACCAGCCACAAATATCATAATTAATATTTCCAAGCCAGAATTGGGCGGTTTTCGTTTTTGACCCGTTTTATCAATATTCGATTCTAAGAATATGACAATCAAGAATACCAGATAGGCCGCTATATGGCTGATCATTTTGTTCAAGGGAATGCTCCAATGTTTGGTCATGGAATGATTTGGAGCTGCCAGACACATTATAGCTATAATTGGCAATGCAAAAATCCGGATTATTGGAATCAAATAAGTGAGCAGAGTGGATTTCAGTTTGTATTGGTGCCAATCTCCGCACCATGTGGCCTCGACGATTTGCTGCGTGTTCGGGTGGGCTACAAAGGTTTTTTGCTTGTAGTCCATGGCTAGAGCTAGCCTTGGGAGGCTGTAGATTTGCGAACTCATTCCTAGAACAAACAAAAATTTTGTTTGATGAATTTAGAGTTTAACATTTGAAAATTAAGGTTTGGGAAAAACTCAAATTTGGGATTTGAATGAAAACACTACTATTCGAGCATGGAAACAAATAAACATAAATTACAATGAAACGACTGCTTTACAATTATAACAAGATACTGAAACACAAAAATTTAAATAATAAAGTTGAGAAGAGGAAACTGAAATAAAAATCTTCGAGGTTTAAACAAGCAGCGATATCATTCGACCGAAATTCCTAAAGTTGTTCTGCTTGGCAAGCTGCAGAATGTTGAGAAATCCTATTGTAAAATATTTGAAGACTTCTTGAGACCACAGTTCTATAAGTATTAAAGATTTCAAATTCGAATTTTGTGCTTTTCAGTCATGAATAGATTTTTTTAAATCATTCTCTGAAAGTTAAAAGTTTAGGACCATCCAAACTTTAATCAGGAAATGTATGTAATTGCCTTTATCTTAAAAATGTATCATTTTGCAGGTTCTAGAATATTCTGAATGCTCTTGATGCAATATTATTCATATGTAAGTTTAAATTAAAATTCTTACCGGAAGGTTGTCTAAGTATCAACTCCATCTCCGTAGTGCTCCTACAACAAGCAATCAATTCCACAGCAAAATTGCTAATTTCCATTGAAAGCTCACTGTACGCAACTCTGAATTCTGGCACCATACTCGAGCATTCTATCAATTCTCTGCACAACGAAAAGGCTGCTAAAATTGGATCATGCGTTGAATGACAAATGTAGGCAGGATTTGATACTGCTCGATATAAATTCAATCTCAAACTTTCAGCGTGCAATAAATCGTCTCTTTCTAAATGGATTCTACAATCTGAACATCTACAGCTTGGCGGATGCGGTTTGCTTATAGTATGGCCTCTTTGAATTAGAAGTTCTATAACTTCGTAATGTCCACATTGTGCGGCAAGTATAAGAGGAGTAACATAATCCGGAAAATCTGTGCTATGCGTTACCCCAACAAATTCTAAGCTGGGAGCTATTTCGGTAATTTTTTGCAATAAAGCTTCCAATATTTTGCGTTGATTGTCTTTCACTGCATGTAAAATACAGTCTCCGATATCGATCGCAGGTTGTCCTAATAGAAATTCAACCATAGGCTCCATATGGTTTTGGACGGCTATTAGAAGGGCCGAAACCCCTTGAAAATTTACGCAATTAACATTGAAGCCAGGATTTTTCTCCAAATAGTCTTTCACAGCTAAAACATCTCCTGAAGCAACAAGTTCGAAGAATTTTTTTTCTGATTCTTGCAAGTGGGGCAAAAGTATGCTTGGCCTAGGAGCTAAAATACTCCCTTCTTCTTGTAGTCTTAGGTACGGAACTTTATCCATTTCGAGTAAAAATATGTATAAATTATTACAATAATTAGAAAAATAGAGATTTTCTTTTATGTCAAATGTGACAACTTCGCAAGTGGGGTTATTTGGTGATGTTTTAAAATCTAAATACAGGATATTTGTTATACAGGGTGTCCCAGCCGAGAGTGACCCATTTTAAATGCTTATAACTTTTAAACCAGGTGAGCTAGCTACCTGCGGTTTGTGCCATTCGATTTCTCTTGGTCTAAAGTTTTTTCTAGTAGGTTTCAAATTTTTTTGAAACTTATACAGGGCGAGTAAAAAAAATCCGTTTTTCAACATCGAAATTCTACACTATTTCTAATGGAACACCCTGTATATCACAATGTCAAAAAAAAAGATTCATGTTTAAGGTATCCATGTACCAATAGACATCGTCCCTAAAACTTGAAGTTTTAGCCGAAAAAAAATCAAAATCGAATTCTTAGTATTTTTGCAAACACATGCAACTTCATGTTGTAGGAACTTGATATCACTATGGCAAACAATTTTGTGACTGTCTAGTTAGATATCAATCAAGTTAAAATACATTTTCCAAGAAAATTTAACGAGATCCAAAGTACTTTCTCTGGAATTCATTAAATAGAGATAACCCAACAGTAACAGTTTGGTGTGCAATCTCTTTTGAGAAAAAATACAGACCATTTTCATTGATGAACCAACAATAACAGAAACTGTATACACTGATATGTTCTTTTCCCCACAGTTAAGACAGGAGGTTATCTTGAATGATATCTATTTTCAGCAGGATGATGCCCCTACATCATTATTCTTTAATACCAAGGGAATCACTAGATATGACATTTGGGGAAAGTCGGATAAAGAGAGCTGGCCTATAGAATGGACATCTTACTCTCTTGACTTGAGAGTTCTAGAGTTTTTTTTTCTCTGGGGTTATGTCAAGGAAAGATGCGGTAATACTTTGCTCGAGTAGCCTGGAAGATCTTAAGTGGAACATTTGTAATGTCATTGAAGCGATTCTCCAGGAAATGTTACACAATTCATTCAACCATTTATTGATCCATAAATGCTTGGAACAGAATGGCTTACATATACATATAGGTACCTACAGCATTTTGTATAGTTTTATGCAGTTATTATTAACTTTTTATTAGGCAAACATAAGTTCCAAGCTTTGAAAATATGCGTTTGCAAAAATACCAAGATATTGATTTTGATTTTTTACGGCTAAAACTTCAAGTTTTAGGGACGATGTCTATTAGTACATGGATACCTTAAACATGAATCTTTTTTTTGACGTTGTGATATACAGGGTGTTCCATTAGAAATAGTGGAGAATTTCGATGTTGAAAAACGGATTTTTTTTAGTCGCCCTGTATAAGTTTCAAAAAAATTTGAAACCTACTAGAAAAAACTTTAGACCAAGAGAAATCGAATGGCACAAACCGCAGGTAGCTAGCTCACCTGGTTTAAAGGATATAAGCATTTAAAACGGGTCACTCTCGGCTGGGACACCCTGTATTGTGGTTTTTCATGTTTACCAGCTTTGTTTGCCTGGATATGATAAAATAATAATAAAAAATCAAGGGCTAAACCACAATCCCAGAATTTGTGCAAACAATTCCTCAAACGGGAATTTTTCACGCTAATTCTTCAAAATTCCTGCAAATTCCCCACAAATTCCTCTAGATACCCCATCACAAATTCCTCCAAATACCCCACCACAAATTTCTCCAAATACCCCACAAATTCCTCTTAATTCTCTGCAAATTCCTCCAAATTCCCGCAAATTCCTCAGGGTCATTTTTAAGGAGATTTTGTACCTCTTCTGAAATTATAATCAATGCGCTTTTAAAGTTTATCCGATCTTCTGAAACAATGTCGGAACTAACCAATAAATGTTCACTTTTATTATGTTTTTCAATTATTTAATTCAATAGGGAATTTTCATATTTCTCAAATTATTTTTTTTTTGATACTTCTAGTCATCAGTTATAACATAATTTTCTTTTTTTCCATTTTAATTTATATGTTGTACGAAAAAAAAATTATTGAAATTCAAATGAAATACTTTGGCGCGAAAACACGAAATTTCAATTTGACAGCGCTTGTAACGTTGAGATTTTGTAAACATAAAATACGCAGCAAACGAGCTCTTGCTGACGCAGTGCTATTTTTGTGTTATTCAAGTGTGTTAAAGTTTGCTTTTTGTGAAAATTGTCGCAATGGATGAAAAATATTGTGAAGGACTGCTTTTGTATTTTTTTTACGTGCAAATTCCCTATCACAGATTTCCCTATTGACGGGTTTGTTTACAGAATCGTGACGTCAAAACAGGTATTCATCATAGGAGCATTTTTTTGGCGGGAAAATTTTTATTCCAAATTTAATATTATTTTTTGTGTAACAAGGGCGGTATCAGTAAATAAAATCTGGTCATATGAATATTGTGCAGCATAAACTATCGATTTAAAACAAATTTGGAAAATTTTACTTCACTTGCAAGTTCCCTAATACAGTCTCACACATTTCAAAGTTTTCCTGGAAAACTAGTGAAGGGAAATTTTGAAACTTTTTGCATGTAAGAAGGAAGGTGAGAAGCTCATTTCCCAAAATTTCAAAATTTTCCAGTGTAAAACAGCAACATAAAGAACCTTGGAAATCAACCTACAAAAACTAAATTAGTTGAAAAAACAGTCTCACAAATTTCAAACTTTTCCTGGAAAACTAGTAAAGGGAAAAATTTGAAACTTTTTGTATGTAAAGAGGAAGGTTAGAGGCTCATTTTCCCGAAATTTCAATTTTCTCCTGTGGAAAATAGCAACATGAAGAATCTTGGAAATCAACCTACAAAAACTGAACTAATTGAAAATACAGTCTCACACATTTCAAAGTTTTCCTGGAGTACTAATAAAGGGAAAAATTTGAAACCTACAGCCTACAAAAACTGTATTCATTATTCTTCCGAATTTTTTAAATTTGGATCTGTAAATCATGAAATGAAATTTTGAGAGAATTTATTTAATAAAAATGAATGTCCAACGTCCAACATAAATTAGATTTTTTTTTTTTAATTTCTTTTAAATTCCTCATAATTTCTTCCAAATTCCCCATAAATTTCTCCAAATTCTCTATAAATTCCCCAAATTCTCATAAATTGCGATGAGTTCCTTCAAATTCCCCAAATTTTTGGCAAAGAATTCTCAGGTGGTTTGCCCCTTGTAAAAAATATCAAATCATTATTTTCTTTGCTTATTAATTTTTTTTTTTTGTAGAAATACAAATTTCCATATGGGTTTTACATAGTCTTTGTAGCCAAAGCTGATGACTATGCTTGTACCAGAGATTACACTCCTTCAGTGCCCGGAGATAGAGTCAAGAAGCTAGATTTACTTATAAAACCCAGTATCACCTACAATGATTATGTTTATGCTGTAATGATAACTTTAAGTGCAGTGGGTAAGTGTGCTATATTTAAGGCTTAAAATTATTTTGCCTGTCTGTGTGTGTCTTATCATATTTAATTTCTTTAAGGTGGATTTTATATAATTTTTGGTCTATCATTCTTCCTGTTTTCAAGAAGATATTATGTTCCACGACAAATGGAATACGCTGTTGATAATGGTACTGCTACAGCTTCACTAAATTCAAGTAAGTTTAATAATTAATTAACTGTCTTTTTGCGCTTTTTGTGTAGTAAGTATATACATATTTTTATTTGATTTAGGAGTTGTTACAGTATCTGGTCAGATTGACCCGCCTGCAAATCAAGTGACAGGTATTTTTTTCAAAGACTTTGGGTGGAATTGGCTTTTTCTTTTAAAATAATGTATCAAGTTTTCCACTCTGTCACATGTTTCGGATAAAATTTTCCCACTAACATTTTTTTTTTGCTTGACGGCTTTGGCATTAACTATTTTCCCTTGCCAATTAAACACATAACATAATTTTCTATTTCTAAGCTATACCAATGAAAACTTTAGGTAACACAAATTTGGACTCACAATCCTTGGACGAAACTGACTACGATCATATCCATGAGATTCAGACTGATAGGGAAATGAGATTGTGCAGAAGTCAACCATATTTAACCGATTTAGCTAGGAAACCACCAAGGGTAACTTAAAAATATTTTAAAACTAATCCAGATCAAAAGGCAGAAGTTATGTTTTTAGGTTTTAGTAAAAAAGAGTTACTTGTATTTATACAACGTGTTAACTGTGGCCTTGTTCTATGGCTTACCAGTCATTCAGTTGGTAATTACTTATCAAAAAGTAAGTTTATTATTTATATGTTTTGATCTATTTTCATTGTAATCCGCTTCTAGGTGCTGAACGAAACTGGAGAACAAGACCTTTGCTACTACAACTTTCTTTGTGCGCATCCTTTAGGATTTTTAAGTGATTTCAATCATGTCTTTTCAAACATTGGTTATGTACTCTTGGGCATTTTGTTTCTTATTATTACTTATAATAGGGAGTTGACTCACAAAGATCAAGATTTTGATAGGGTAAGAATTATGCTTTATTTAATATTCACTTACATATCAATTGGAGAATTGCGTGTATAGTTAACTTATTTTTGAGTTTATTCATGTTTAAGTAGTATGAAATCATTTTTCAGATCTAATTTAAAATTTAGTGGTATCCATAATAGATCAATGACTATGTATTTCTTTTTTATCGTTTTTATCAATTCTTTTTACAGCATTATGGTATTCCTCAACATTACGGCTTGTTTTATGCCATGGGTGTGGCATTGATAATGGAAGGAGTGTTGAGCGGAAGCTATCATGTTTGTCCCAGTCAGACAAATTTCCAATTTGGTAAGAACCAATTTTTTGTTTGTTCTACAATGCTTATTAATTTCTTGATTACTAGACAGGATAATTCCTGCTTGAGTATTGAAGAAACCCGATCAAATTGAATAAAAATTCTAAATCATGTTAGTAAAAATACAAATTTGTATTTAAATCAAGCGAGTGACTAGAGTACTTTGAGCAAATATATTTAATAAAATCTTAGCAGAGCGCTATCTTCAGTGCTAACTGAAAATAGAGAACAAGTCCCTTAGAAAGTTCTGCCCCGTCAAGCGATAAGGTTGTATATGGCAGAAGCAGCAATGAACCAAATTTGAAGGAGATGATTAAACTCACTTCAGTTGAAGTGCAAGACAATATATGCCTGCTTAAGGGCAATGACGTCGACCCTTCCCCTCTTTTTAATACTTTGGTATGTTAGTCCGTCGCAATTTTTAACGTGTACAACTTTTTACAATTTGTCTTCATATATGAATGTATTTGTCCATTGAGTGGTTCCTGTGCACTTCAACTGACAAGTGAGTATAACCTTCTCCTTCAAATTTTGTCGTGACTGTTTCTGACGTATACAACCTTGCCGCTTCACGGGACAGAACTTTCCAACAGGCTTGTTGTTCTCTCTTTTCAGTTAGCACTGAGTTTGGCCGGAAGGCCGAAAGCACTCTGCTTGAGAGTGTTATTGCGGACTTTTGTTTAGAATAACTGGGACTGGATTCTATATAAATTTTTCTTTTTAAGACACAAGTTTCATGTACGTTATGGCTGTCTTATGTATGATAAAACTCTACCAAAATAGACATCCCGATATAAACGCAAACGCATATTCCACTTTTGGTGTCCTAGCTATAGCAATCGTTCTTGGTGAGTCAGAGAATTATTATTAATTTGAAAACGTTTCCGTTATTTTGTGAATTTTTTTTTTAGGTATGATTGGTATTTTCGAAAATACTGAAGAATTTTGGATATTCTTTGTAATATTGCACATTATAACTTGTTTTTATTTAACCATTAAAATTTATTATATGGGATGTTGGAAACTGAGTAAGTTGATTACTAAGTTTCAATTTCAATTATAATTCGTTTTTATTTTTAGATTATGCTGCCATGCAAAGAATAGGTCACATACTGAGGCACGATTTTTGGTCAGGCCCGCTCAACATCTTACAACCTTGTTATAAAGGTGATGAAATTTGTTCAGACGATTCAAATATGTTTTATTATATAAATTTTTCTTTTATTTTCAGCTCGTTTTGCTATATTACTAATAGGTAATTTATTCAATTGGGGTTTGGCAACCTACGCTCTGATTTATCATCCCAAAAACTTTGCAGTTTTTCTACTTTTGATTTTCATGTCCAATACATTGTTGTATTTCTTTTTTTATATTTTTATGAAGGTAAGTAGGTACACATAGCGTCTGTAATTGCAAATTCAATACATACTGTGATTATAATAATTTTCCTGTTTCTTGAAATAAAATACATAAATCTTTTATTTATGTAGTTCTAATGAATGATAAAATTCATGAATAAGTGTGAAAAATAGTATTTAAATAATGCATTCCTTTGTAGTATTTACACACCGAAAGGGTGAGGATTCTAACTTGGCTCTTCCTGTTTGTATCTACTGTTTGTGCAGTGACTGCCATGTATTTCTTTTTACAAAAGGCAATATCTTGGTCTGTAAGTATCTCATTAATCATCTAAAAACTTAAATGCTTATTTAATTGGAAAAATAATGATGGATAATATACAATATACCATGCAAAAACTAATAGGAAATATGTATTATTATAGAGAACTCCAGCTCAATCACGCACATATAATATGGAATGCAAATTGCTCAGATTCTACGATTACCACGACATTTGGCACTTTTTGAGCGCTATCGGTATGTTCTTTACTTTTATGGTTTTGCTGACACTTGATGATGATTTATCTCATACGCACCATGCACAAATACCTGTATTTTAGGTTTTGAATATTTTTTTGATTTTTCCATATGGAAAATTTCTATCTGGCCATTTACAAACTGTAATAGGTGTATATTTACTTATTTGTTATAGAAACTTATAGAATTTTTCATATACATATGACAAGTAGATAATAATGCTGTGATTTTTTCATAATATGAGACTACAGATATAAAATATCCTTTAAATTATTCTGTAGTTTAGGTCCCTTTGTTAAGTACAAAAAATTTGCTAAGACCAAATAAATGCTTTTTCCAAGTATTAATCAGTCACTAGGTTGAAAATATTTCTATTGATACATATTTAAATTATTGATAAATGAAAAACGTCCATATATTTCTGGTATTTTAGTCTAAGACTTGTGTTCTAACCATAGTACTAGTACATTATTGCAGACGAACTTTGTACTAACATTCATCAAACATTGATGTTATTTTATTTTTGAGTTACCGACCTAACTAATTATTCTTATAGGGGATTAGTTGAAAGTAAATTAACTAGTTAGGTTCACATTTTGAGAATTTAGCTAGGCTTAGTGTATTAACACATACCTTTAGGCAAAATCTGCAATTTACCATTTAGAGAAAAATTCAAAATTTAATTGTTTGGTTAACGATTTAGATGCTGAATTTATATAAATAGTTTAGTGTGTTATATGTATGTATATATGCGCAACTAGTTAATTATCGAGTTTGTTATAGTTTTACCTATTTTTCAATAACCACTGATTGAAAAATTTGGTTCGTGATATATTCTATACCTAAAAATAACAAGTGTCAAACAATTTTTTGGAAAATAAAAATATTTTACAAACTTTGGATCTTTATTTTGTTACAAAAATATAGAGTTAATAATACTTGACTGTTGTAGTCGATAAACTAGGTACCTATACATAATTAACAAAAACAGGATGATTTAACTAAATTTCTATTCTAAAACAGGGCAACTGATAGTTTTTTCACAGTTAGGACAATTTCCTGAAATAGCGTTAAACACTATTTTGGCATTTGAGGCAACAAACCACTGCAATAATAAAAAAAAATAATTAAATCTAACCAAATAAGGTTTAATTTTACTTACACCATAAAGACACTCGTTATGATAAAATTTCTCACATCTTTTGTTGGTACAAATAACCTCAGGCAACTTTTCATTTAACCTCAACGAAAAACAAATGCTACATTCTCCATAATCTACAAGCAAATTATGTTGGTTTTTAGTTGTTGGCCTTTTCGGAAAATCTTCTAAACCTAAGAAATAAACACATTTTGTGTCAAAAATGTTCTATTACATTATATGTATAAGGATTTTTTCAAAAATAAATAAAATATTACCTAACAAATCTAAAATGCCTTGAAAAATATTCTCCTGGCACACCCAATTTCCAAGATTATTATTCAAATGATTACTATAGGATTCAACCAAGTATTCGGGACCCAAAAATTTGAAATTGGGTCTTTGGAAAACGTTGTAAGGGTCTATGGTGATTATAGTCGAAATATTTTCTCCCAGCCATATTCGTCTATGTGAATCGCTTCTCTTTGGTTTTTCTGGATCCAAAACGGTGGTATTTCTATCGAATTCTTCCATTAAATCAAAATATGGTTGTAGCCGTTCAATACGAGCGAGGAACTGATCGAAAAGTACTATGAGATTTTCATTTGGTTTGAAAGTATCTGAAAATAATAATGGATACTTATAAGAAATATATGTATACGGGCGATTTTATTTTATGTGTTTTAGTTTTAAAAAATAAAACAGCGTTCTTGAGATAAATAACTTATTACCTTGAATCCTTTGAGGCAGGTCAAATTCTGAAATTTCAAAAATGTCTGATGTTTTTTGAGTGAAGTCAACAGTGATTTTAACCGAGTGTTCTCTGTAATTGCTATCTAAAATTAATAATTAACATAAAGTTGAGTTGGACTTTGAAAAGTATTTGACTTATTTAAGCTATTTATGTATGTACTTCGCTGTAGCTTTTAGTATTTTGTACCATGTACTCATGGGCTACTTTGAAAAAGCTAGCTACTCAAGCTACTTTTACGCAGAGTTGGTACCTTTAAAAATATAACTTAAGCCTTTAACAGGCAAAATTATCCTGAAACTATTTTAAACAGAAAATGCTAATTATGCAGTCTTCTGGAAACAAGAAAAGATGATATGTCACTAGCAATCGAGTTTTCTATTTTTTTCTTCTCTATATTAGGCGGTAAACCATTTTACCAGAGACCATTTAGGACTAAATATGTAGGTAGTTCTCTGGTACAAACCCTATACCACACCTCTATAAATAATGCAATAATAATATGGAACTTCTGGGGATCAGAATAAAAAACACAATAGCTTTCAAACAGATTTATAACAAAAACGAAATATACAATAACTGAAGAAAAATCACATCAAACTCTATAACAAATCCATATGATCCTAAATATGGTGCCACATTTTTCCTAATCATCGGATATTGTGAAAACTGGATTGACAAAATCAAAAACTAATCAGAAAAATATTGTAATAAAAATTAGTGCGATTTGAAATTTTTCATTATTGTTATCACACCACAAAATATTATTTTCAATGGTAAAATTGACAATTGTATACATTTGAAAGAAAATTTGGGAAAATTTTCCTAGCGCAAAAAGAACAGGATGAAAACTTGATTGATATATTATGGAGATATGTATAGGAAGCATGTATCAAAATATGAATCTTGAACTAGGAGTAGAACTTATAGAAAAAATAATTCAATATGTGTACAAAATTAGTTCTAAGTTGTAAATATGTATAGTTTTTTACTAACAATTTGAGTACAGCATTAGAAATTTGAATTTATATCTGTTCAGTATACATATATAGATAATAATTACCTATTTTATTCGTCAAAATCCCTTCCGGTTTATAAATATTGATAAAAAAATGAATTGAAGCCCATAAAACAACATAATTGATGTTTCTCGAGTCCCACTGGTATATATGGTGTACCACTTTTAAAAATACGACCGCATCCAGAAAAATCTTTTGATAAACTGACGTCGGAGATCAACATATATTGAATAACGATGTTTTTAGGATGATTACAACCAGATTTTTAGGGTTAAAATATGGAATAAACAAGGTGGTACTAGGTTTACACCAGAGAACGTTAAAGGGTTAAATATATTTTTTAACAAATTTTGATACATAATTAAGTTAGGTACCAGCTCAGTTATTTTTTTAAAGAGGGAGCTAAGTTACTGAGTAACTCAACTATGTACCTACTTACAATACAGACTACAGATTAGTTTGTAACTAGCTACTTTTTTTAAGTAGCTTGTATTTTTGAAATTATAGTTTACCTACCTGTTATAGACGCCGTAATAGCTGATAAGTCCTGCAATAATTTAGAAGTTTTCAAATGTAAAAAAAACTTTGTAAACTCAGAATATTCATGTATGACTTTCCTGTAAATTTCACAGTGGTTTTCCAGGTTAATCAGCGGTTTTTCCGTTTCCAAATGTTTGTGTATTTTATTCAAAACTTCCAAAACATTTTGAAAGCTTTCTTTTTCCAAGATTTGTTTAATTTGAATCGCTGTAGACTCATTGAAATCTTCATCCAGCTTGATTAGTTTGTATTTGGATCTCCCATTGATGATGGCGGTTTGTTTTAGAGCAATAAAAATATCTTTATTCTGAAAATTTTAGGAACAAAAAAGACAAAAGATAAAGGTGAGTTCCGTTCTATTTAAAGATTATATCAACTTTCATCTTTTTCACCAAACTTTTAAGTCTTAATTTTGAAACAATAAAAAACTTCTACAAGGTGGGACAATTTGGACACTTTTAATAAGAAACGTCAATGTCTGAGGAGCTAAAAAATTAACCCCTGAGCCCCGACTCTGAGACCCAAATGTCATGAAATATTTTATGCATCATCGGGCGGTAAATTCAACTTACAGCCAGCGTTTGTGGGCGGTAAGTTGAACTTACCGCCCGTCTCTTTTAGGAGATAAATAAGCTAGAATTATTTATTATATCCACCCAACAACTATACCTACTATATTATTACCAAAATTGGTGTGGATAACCATGAAAAATATAAAAGTTGTTGATTTTTGGAAGATTTGCATTTGCAAATACAAAAGTTGCCAATTTTTTAGTGAAAACCATAGACACTGTTTATATTTTATTTTTGAAAGGGAAGAGTCCGATGTGCATAAAACAAAATAAGTATTTTGGGCGTTGAGTGTGGTTAACCACCCTCGAATATTGTATCATGCAATCAAACATTCTCGGGTGGTAAATGACACTTACCGCCCTTAATACTTAAATTTTGGTTATACATAAGGGATAACTCAATTGTTATTGAAGTTAGAAAGATGCAGTTTTCACAAAGGTGGGCTACTTTTTTGTTAAACGGAAGATGTCAACAGAATTGTTTTTCAGATACAAAGTGTTTTTGGAAATGTTGCATTTTGGGACACCCCTTGTAGGCTCTCTCATGAGTATTCCAAAAGGTGACAACGGGTTCTTTTCTTTCGATGTAGATTCAGTGGCGTAGTCAGTTTTTTCTATCGAAGTGATAGTTTTTGGATCATAAACCAAACCTATATTTTTTCAAATAACAAACAATCAGTTATCCCCTAGCTTATCCCTATGTACAACCAAAATGGGACACCCTGTACATACAGTGTACACTAACCTCAAAAAAATTAAGTGTTAAATAACGAAATGCTAAATTAATTAGTGTCTGTTAGAACTAAGTAAAGTGTTACTTACTTAAATAAATGGATTATATTAATTTCTTACCTTTACTAACATTTTTCCTCTGATCAGCACTTTATCACTTTTTTCTATTGCTTTCAACTTAATGAGGGGGTATTGGAGAACCAAATCGAGCAAATAGTCCATGATAGGTAAGTAAAATTTTTATAAATACAAAAAAAAAATACGGTATACCAAAAATACCACAACAAAAGAAACTACTGAATACTGTGAAATAGTACAAAATTTTAAATTTGTATTTATTTTTATTTTATTTGTTTACTTCTGTCATCTGTCATATATCTGGCATGTATAATCGAAGACTACGTTCGATAACTAGGGCCCCATACACTACGTTCTTTCTCGTCGGTTTTCATCGCCACGATGAAACACGTCGTTCCAAAACCGAAGTGTGTGGTAGAAAACCGTCGTGTTTTTCTACTGTTTTCTACCACACACTTCGGTTTTGGAACGACGTGTTTCATTGTGGCGATGAAAACTATCGTGTTTCATCGTATTGTATGGGGCCCTTTACACTCTGTAAACTCTGAGCGCGCTCGATTCGATAAGATCCTGTTCGTTTGGTAAACTGAATGCTCAGGGCAGGCCCCACTTTGCCGTGCGTTCGGTATTTTGATCTGAGTTCTCAGAGCTTGAATTTACCGTTCGTTAATTTAAAAAGTGTACTTGGTGCATGCTCATTCGCGTTCGTTTAATAAAATTTCTGGCACTCTGATACAGCGTTCAACTGCTCTGTTCGCTCGCTTGTCACGTGATTACGGCTCCGCTCAGCACGCTCTGCTCTTTGAGCAAAATACCGAACGCAAGGTTGGTATACTTACTCTGTTCCAACACAACAGGAAACCGTACAATGCATCGTCAGGATTCTACGCAAAGCTTAAAATATGTGCACACAGTACGAAATTCGTACACAGAAGAGGTTTCGAAGCCGCTCATGCGACAAGGATAATACACACTACTACTAAAGAATAGCCTATCCTCATAAGGCCTCTATATCTCAAGCCCCCACACCCTTTGAATATAAAACTACAGGAAGGAGCATAACTTCGAATCTGCGCGACCAAAATATGTGGAGGTTGCATATGGCCGACTAGTATTTCCGGTTTGGCAGTGGCGTATATTTATTTAAATATGATTGTCAATATTGACTCACTCTTTTCTCACTAATCCCAGTGCTTATTATCACTTAAAAATGCTAAAATCTATTAAACATCCACTTGAATGAGGACACAGCGAACCACCAAAACAAATGATGAGTCCATACTTGGAGGCTCAATATGGCCGTTTCCGTCCCTGCGTTGTCTATAGTGACAGATAGAAAACGCTCCTTCCTGTAGTTTTATATTCAAAGCCCACACCATACCAAAGCACCAGTGATGACGTACGCAGCGTGTCGTTTCTCGCCTTGACGTAGGGTGTTTGCAACCCCTCAAAAAACCGTCCCAGAACGGTTTCCGAACCACTCTGTATACGAATTTCGGTTTCTACGCAAAAATTCTAGGTTTTGCGCAGAATCCTGGGCTGGGATCACGACAAGTAGAATTCTACTTTCATGACGTCACCCGCGACCGATGTCTCGCGGACAAGTACAGGCGATGATTGACGTCATGAAAGTAGAATTGTAGTAGAATTCTACTTGTCGTGATCCCATCCCTGACGGTAATATTACGGTTTCCTGTTGGGTTGGAACAAAGCTATTATACAAAGAGGGGAGTTATGGATGTACACCAATGTGAAACAAAGAGAAAGAAAAATCGGAGGTAGTAATGGTGTAAATAATTTAATGAAGTTTTACCGAGCGCTTTCGACATCTAACTATAGGTCATCTTCAGGGTCGGTTCTGAGAGCAAAAAAAATATCGCTGACGATTTAGTTACACCCGTATGCACCGTGTGGATGTGGATCGCATGGTTCGAAAGTTTGCACATAAAAAAGAAGTCCTAATCTGGTTTCAGCAACTACTCTGGATTAAGTCCTTACGGTGCATTTGGGCGTTAATGACGTCGGCAATGGTGTTACACAGCTGCTTACGGAACCTTGGGAAACACTACTGATCTAGGATCAGTTCGATTAGTATAAGCTGTTCAAGGATTAGTGAACTATCTACAGGTGAAGCTAGTTTAGTTTCCGAATGGATGGACTCTATGGATGGACCTATTTACACCCATTTTATCAGGGTCGATCAGATCCAAAAATATGATACCCTACCGAACAACGCGATGACTTTGCGTACAAGAGTGAACTGGATCCTAAATCCCTTTCCGTACGTGGAGATTGGTCAAGGATGATACACACCTACAGGATTGCTTATCGGCCTCGTTTTTGGTAATCGCCGCCATATTGGTGTGTCCCTTAAACATTGCAATTGGACACGTTTAACCTAGAGTTAAAACCAACCCGGAGGTGACTCGTTATTGAGAAACCGGCCCTCAACCTAATAGGACTGCCTATTGAGCTAAAAGCACAGCATATACAAAATTACAAAAACAATCAGCAGGTTAACTCGAGCTTTGTATCCTAGAATGGCGGCATGCGCAGAAGTAGTCTGCCATTTCAGCCGCACACCTCAAATCTTGACGTAAAATGCATCAATCGAGATAAAACAGTATAAGTCAAAAAAAAAGAATTCCCAAACGTTATAATTTTGTTAAAACCACCGTTTCTACATTTGAAATCGATGAAAAAACAAACACAACTTGTGGGTAACGTCACCACTATAAGCTGCTATGCTGCAAGGAGAATACACACTCTAAGGGCGGGTATTATAAAACTGCTTTGACAGTTAACTTGAAGTTAACTTTTTGAATTACATGTAATTCCAGAAGTTAACTTTAAGTTAACTCTCAAAGTAGTTTTATAATACCCGCCCTAAGGAGTGCTTATCGGCCTCGTTTTTGGTAATCACCGCCATATTGGTTTTCAACTGTTTTCAACCATTGCCGACGTCATAACTAAGTCGTCAGTTGTTTACAGCCAACGTCACGGCGAGAAACGCCATGCTGCTTACGTCACAACTGGTTGTTTGGTGTGGAGGGGGGGGGGGTAGGGGGAATTTGTTACACACAGGCTTTATGAGCCATCCTGTAGTAGTAGTGTGTATCATCCTTATTGGCTATGCTGGTAATAGTGGTGACGTCACTCGCAAGCCTTGTCGAATCGAGAATTGGCGAACGTACGCCTTTGAGGATGAGCAAACCTGTTAGTTTACGATCCTTGGGTAATCCTTGTGATTCCCGGTTCAACCGGTCAGCATTTTTTCGTTTCCTATTTGGTTACCGCTACAGGAAGCGCTAATCCTTTAGGACTTGTAAAATTATATCTGGCATCGCGTTTCCTATTAGGCCAGCGCACATTGTCTACCGCTACATGGAGCGCTAATCATATAGGACTTGTCAAATTATATCTGACGTCGCGTTTCCTATTAGATTAGCGCACAAAAATTAAATAACTACGCTCATTTTGCCAACCATGCTGTTACATTATGACTTTTGACATTGGGTTGGGTTTTAATAATAATTAACAGGTCTGTTCGAGCAGAAATCACAAACCAGTCAGAGCGAATTTCATTGGTTGAAACTAGTTTTCTGACTGTTTTTAACCAATGAAATTCGTTCTGACTGGTTTGTGCGATTTCCGTACGAACAGACCTAATAAAACAATTTACAGAGTTTAACTTTTTCTACTACTACTATGTTCTATTACTAGAATGGAATCCTTTTGCAATTACAGCTAAAATTTCTGCTATGATAGTTGAAAATCCATTAGTAAAGAATTTTTGGTAGAGGATTTCTTAGTGCAGAATCAACAGAGATAATAAAACGAGACACAACGAGAAATATTAGAAAATTATTGCACCACCTGTAGCCACCAACATAGAGAATTAACGTCGAAAAATGACAACGATGATAATGAAATAGATTAGAGTGCAATGTATGCCTGCAGGCGATCGCAGAGGGTGTGCGCTGGTCTAATAGGAAACACAACGCCAGATATATTTTAAGAAGTCCTATATGATTAGCGCTCCATGTAGTGGTAGACAATGTGCGCTGGCCTAATAAGAAACGCGATGCCAGATATAATTTTACAAGTCCCAAAGGATTAGCGCTCCATGTAGCGGAAACGGAAGAATTCAACCGGTCAACCCGATCATATTATAGTTTCCGTAAGCAGCTTCTATGACCGCGATTTCCAAAATCGAGGCCGTAGTAGTGTGTATTATCCTTGCTGATGGATGGGATGGATTTGGACGTGTTGGACCTGGAGTTTCAAGCTCAGATCAGAGCTCTAGTCTCAGACAGAATTATTTGAATCGATAAACATTCAAAGCAGTTGAACACGTTGAAGAGAGAAATGTATTGATGTTCGGTCCGTCTTCCACGACAGATTCTCTTCAATCAACTGAAAAAGGAAAGACGAAATCAAGAAAGAAAACGGATCCGTGAAGGTGCGATATCAAATTTCTTCAGACGATATGGGTGTCTAGAAAGAAGAGTAAGTTTTGGATATCCTGTGGTTTTGACAAAGAACTTCAAAACGGTGATTCAACCATTTCGGATTCGTCCTGAAACGTCTGATGGCTGACCAGAGAGAACTGCCTTTTCAATTTATTGCACAAGAGTCAAGAGAGCAAGGGTCCTTATTCTAGAAACAGGGGAGCAAGGTTCCCAGGAGAATGAGTGTCCCGTCTTCTCAATGATATGCAAATGATAATACAAGTAACAAGGACGGAACACTCGTTCTCGGAAACGCTACTCCCCTATTTGAAGAATAAAGACTCGGAGCAGAGATCATGACTTATTCCTATTCTTTGAACATATGCCAGCTATATACCTTTACTACCTCGCAGGAAAGTGTATCAGGAAACTATAAAAGATATCATTCTATAAAATTTCAAGGAAGAACAGCGGTTCATGTTTGGTGTGGTATTCAAAATATAAAACAAATAATGCTTTCCATTGAAAAAAATATTGTCCGTTGTTTTCCGTATGAGGAGCCAGGGGGTGAAGCTTATGGCAAAAACAGGTATGATGCCAGGTGACCATTGGCGTTTTAATGTAGGGTGCCACCAGCACAGATTTTTTTCGAGGATTAGAAAAAAATTAAAATCGACAGACTTTACAAGTCATGTCATAACTCTTTTGTTGAATCGTTTTCTAAATTGCATTTTAGATTAGTTAAAAATTTGCCCCTGTTCAGTCCTGGTTGGATGACTGTATACCAAACACAATACCAAATGAATTATCAATGTC